CATGACTTCAGGTGAGGGCTGGTACGTAGATCAACTGGTAAACTGAGAGATCAATATTGATGGCCACATGAGACGATAGCACAAGCTTGCATCATTTTGTGAAAGCTGTACCACATCTACACGTTGACCCTGAAATACTTAAACTCCTTCACATTTGGGCTATCATGATCTAAGAATTGGAGGTTTTGACTTTGACCCTTACCAGCAAACCCTCTCAGTGCAGCTGGAGATAATGGAGAGGCCAACAGAGCTACAGTAAATCATCAGCAAAAAGCAGAAATGCAATCCTGAGTCACACACACTAGAAACTCTAACCCCTTCTACCCATGAAAATCATGAACAGCATCAGTGACAGAACACAATCTTGGTGGATCTGAACACCAACGCAGAAAGTGTCATTTTAAAGAATGCAGTGACTGCTCTCTAGGAATACCGGGGAAAAATGACTTAGCAATTTGCAATAGTTCCTGTATATATCTGAGATCATAAGCTTCCACAGAAACAGGTCCATCTAGATTAGAAGGGCAATATCCCTCGCATGACCACTCTGACACTGAGCTCACAATAAAGTTGTTCTTTATACTAAAGCCGTGTTGCAAACGAAATTCCCAGCACTGACTTCCTCCGGGATCATTGAACCCTGTTTCATAACCAGGATGGAACCAGCACTGTTCCTCCTTAATCTTTGGGTCAACAAGGTCGCCCAGATCTTTCTTTTCAGGATTGCTGAACAGTGTGATGCCTTCCACAATCCCCTTGAAAAAATGTGAACCACAACCCTGTTAGCCACATGACAGACAATGTGTTCCTGGCCTCCACATAACATAAAAGAGGTGTGTCAATCAAGACAGGCCTTGAGTGCAATGGTTGATTTAGACATGGCTAACTCAGATTCCAAGCTTCCAGGTTTTCTGTTTTTTCCAGTGTATTTTAGTGTTTACTGCAATGCTTTTGTAATAAAATTTTCTACCAGACAGTTAGAGACATTCAATCAGCACTGATTAAAAAAGGGAAGTAGTTCATACTTTCATGCAGCAGATGTAAGCTCTTGAAAAAGGGAAAGACAAGCTCGAAAAGTCTACAAATAGGGTAATATACATACAGTAAGTATAAATAAAGTACAAGTACTTTGGCCTCTCAAAGTGACAAACTCAGAAAGGACATTGCACTGCAGTGTCCGGCACCAGGTTGGGTGACCTGCAAATTTGTTGTGTTGGTGGTTAAAAAAAATATTTATATAAATTCACAGGTATGGACATGGGTAAAAACAAAGCCACAATCTAGCACATCAAGCTTTTGATAGCCATAAGCTTGGCACGTCTTCGCTCAGGAAACACATTGAAAACTGCAGCAGGAGCACAGGTGCTGCAACAATTGACAGATACTTTTACAAGAACAAAATTCTCAAACCACCTAAACAGTTAGATGCAATAAGCAAGTTAGTTGTAAAAGTTTGTGTGCCAGGACATAAGATCGTTTAAAAATTCTGTGTGGTGATGGGTTCAGTAAACTGACACAGGGCTTGATTGACATCGGTTCCCGAGCTGGCCGTGTGGACGCTCAGCAGCTTTTGCCTGATCCGACAAGTGTATCACGCAGACTGACAAAATACGCAGAGGACATTCAGCAAACTGGTGCAAACATAGCTGTGGCCCTTTGCACTGTTACTAGCATTAGTTCAGAACACAGTACTGCATACCACAGTTGGAAAAACTGCTGAATGTGATGTCTTTGCCAAATAAGTATCTGCTCTTATCAACTCTGCTAAGTCGCTTGCAAGTTATTTTAAGCAGAAAAACCTCCAGACTCGTCTGAAAAAACAGTAAAAGCATCCGCGGGGACACGCTCAAACTCCCTACATACGATGCTGGACTTTATTAGCAGCCAATATGAGGACATACGCACTCTTCTGGAGGAGCGAGGAGAAAAAAGCCGCCATAGTAACCAGATCATGGAGACTCTGAATGACACTGTTGCATTTCTCGGACGATTCAAGGAGGCAACCAAGGCCTTGGAGGCATCCAAAACCCCAACCTTTCACCTGATCACTGTGTGGTTGGAACCCCTCAGACATCAGTCTGTCAGTGGAACAGTCTTCCACTGACAGTTTAACACTGTAAAGGAAGGTCTTATATTAACGGGTCAGTCCAGGTGCGGGTTTGCAAAACTGGACCAGTGCAGAACTCTCTAAGACAATAAAAAATATAAATCAAGTATATTTTTTTCCTAATTTCAGCCTATAAAACTTATTCTAGCTAATATTAATTGAGCTCTGCATTTTTGAAATGGCTTCAGATCCGTTCTATGCTGCTTATGTGAAAAATATTATGAACTGTATATAAGATAAGGTTTGAATAGTCAGAGTCATCCCTAATATTGACGTAAGGGTATATCATTTCACTATTTGAAAAATGCAACTCCTCCTCGGTTATCAGCTCTTTGCTTACACAATACAAGATTTTTTAGATACATTTGTTTTAGGATTAAGAAATGAAGCTCAGGCGACATTTTCCTTCCAAAAGAGTTTTTTTTAAAGTGGGAAACTCTCTGTGGGTCCATTCTGCATGTAAAGCCCTGTGAAAATCACCCCGTGTGTTGCAACTGAGAATGAGAAGTAGGGCAAAGTAGGAAGGAAGTTGGCTTATTTTTATCTTCTTAGCATCTACACCAAGCTACTAAGAACGTAAATCACTTACCAATCGGTTTCTCTGTCTGCTTAGCTGCAAATAAAACACTTAAATACAAAATACTGTGCATACAGGTGGGACAAATGGCAACTTATGATTGGTACAGAAAATGGAAAAAGCATACAAAGTCGAAAGAGTGGACATCTTTTTAAATGAGAATATCCAAAGCCACTACAGGCCTGATTTACATGTCTGCTTCACGGTTCTGCTTTGGTTTTAGCAGAGGTTTACTCACAATCTTTGGAAATAATAGAAGATGTTCCTATTAGGGTATTTATCTTTTTCATGGTAACATGATGTGTGCAAGCTGATGTGCTTATGACATTAGTTCACCACAGCGGTATCAGCTTCAGTAAGCGCAACACCACCCACCTCATCCAACACTTGTTTCTCAGAAACTGTTGTCATGTAGTCTTAACACCTTCTACAGAGATGATGATGACAAGAAGTGCTGTCAGCTTCAAATTAACCTCTGACTGAGACATCACACCCTCAAAAAAGGTCAGCAGAGTGACCAAGAGGATACTGGCGCTATATAGAGGCTGCTCATACCCACTTGTCCATATCCTGGAACAGAACCATTAAACCACATTTAACCAGTTAGACAGCCGGTTCTCAGCCTGTGGTTCGGGGGTCCCTGAAAAAATAGGAAATATCTTAATTTCACTGTTATTTCATTGTTCATAGGTTTAACACTGTTCACTGTTAATCTGCCAAACAGTTATAGAATAACTAAATATTATTAGAAGGGGATCCCTGAGACTATAAACACAGGTCTGAAGTGGTTTAAACCACTTAGACCAAATTGGACATCAGCATGGCTTCTATTGGTTAGCAAGGCTTTTAGACTGTTAGGTTTTGTTTTCTAGTGAAAAAAGGGTGCCCAGAGTTGGTTTTACTTTTACATTCAGTTTTGACGAGAACACAATTAACTAAAAGTCTACTGAGAGTGGAGGCTTCTGCTTTTACTCTCATGCAATTCCTAGTCATTTCCTATCTCCTTAATTAATCATTTGATTTTGGCTGATGAAGCCAAGAAGTTTCCTGGTTGAGCCTCCCGTTGACTGACTCCCAACTGCAACTGCCAGAAACCTAGATAAGAGAACAATCTGCTAAATGTCTGTTTTTGGATCATTAATGGTCTGTGCAGGACCATTGCTTGTAGTGAAACATAATGTCTTATTACTCAGGGCTAGTGAAGGAACATTAGGTAGCTTACCATTTCTGCTTTTTGGCCTCTTAAACTCTGATCATGCTTACAGTTACTACTTAAGAGAACGGATCCGTAGAGTAGCACATGTTCTAATAAGTCAGTGGTCAAGTTTCCATAGAAATTCTGATATCTAGGGGTATTAAAATATTGCATTTATGTTTGTTTTATGTATTAATTTGACGAACATTACATTCTCATCGGCCCACACAGATCTCATCTTGTGTCTGCTGTCATTTTAGAGTGATGTCATGTTTGTCATTATTAATGAACCAAGCCTGTTTCCATTGCATTTTATCTCATAAACCAACTTTTGCACCTCAGCCAAGCAAAAAGATTTCTATGCAATACATTTCCAATTTTGTTTTTTGTTTTTAAATGGTGGATGGTGATACACTTGGTGGTGTATCCTGTATACTACCAACTAAAAAGTAGTAGGCTATATTTACTACATACTGTTTTTCATAGTAGTATGCAGTATGAGACTGTTGATTGATTGTTTGATTGATTGATTTATTTATTTTGCAGGATGCTTAGCCAGGCTGGTTTGGAAAAGTCGAAGTAAACATGCCGACTGGCTAGTTAGCTAGTCCTGCAGGTGCTGAAAACATTTTTGATCAATATTCTTAAAACTGACAATATTTGAAATCTAGGAAGTTGATTTGAAGCCGCAAAAATTCTCTAGTAAAGTAAGCAGTCTCGCGTAGAGTTATTGTCTTGGAATGAAGCAGATTTACACCCAACAGTGCCTGTCAATTAATTCATAGCTTTTGTCTTTGTTAATATTGTAATAAAGGTATTGATAAAACATGACCTCTGGCCTGTAAGGGATTCCTAACACCCCCCACGATCAGATAATCAGGAAAAACCCGTGACTTAAATTCCCAAGCGAAATGCTGCAATGAAAGTGGTTCCTGTTGGTAAGCTGTCGGTCACATCATGGAAATCCCCGCCAATCAGCGGTTCATTCATTCATTCAAAAGGAGGACGGAAAAAAAAAGAAAAATGACTAACCGGAGGGACCATTTCTGCTTTTACAGGCCATAAGTATCTGATGTCTCCAGACGGTCGTCAGTTCACCGAGCTCTCTGAAGAGGAACAGAGAAGAAAGACCAGCAGACCATCAATAATTATCCATTTAATCTAATATCTATCATCCTCTTTTGAAAATGGCAAACAGTAGAACCCTGATGAAAAGTGCGCTGGTCGTTATTGTCCTGATGGCTGTGATTCACTCTGGATCAGCAGGTAAGATTACGAGCTAGATAAACAAGGTACAAGATCTCAAAGATTGCTTTTCTTAATGTGAGTCATTTAAAATCATTTCCTTTTTTAAATTAACTCTCATTTCTTTATCCATCTTTAGCTGAGAAACTGGCATCTTGCTGTAAGAAAGTCAACAAACTGGAGATAACAGAACCAATCACAGGATACCTGATCCAACGACCTACCCATGAATGTGTCCCAGCTATCATGTAAGTAAGACAAGCAATGATGTGTGAACTGGAAAATGATTGTTAAAGATTAAAACATTCTCCCATTTTTTACTGTTTTTATAACTGATAACTTTTCAACTTTCTTTGTACTATGTATTTATTTGTATACTATCTACAGCACATTACGAATCATTAGATTTAAAACACTCATGTTGCATTTGTTTGTCATTCATGCAGCCTTCAAACAGAAAAAGGTCTCTTCTGCAGTCCAGTGAAGGCCGAGTGGGTTCGTCGCAAAGTTCAGGCGTTCTTGTGAGTTTCTTATGACCGTTGATTTACTCACACACACACTCACATGGTCATGTGGCCTTTTCTCATTTATTTAATCCTTCAATCCCAAACTTGTGGTCTCATATCTTTCTTTATCTTCTTTCTTACAGGAAAGCAAAAGCTCAGGCCACTACTTCATCTGTGGTCCCCTCGTCTACTGTCTCCCTCCTCTCCATCATCACATCCACTGCCTCTCCTCCTTCATCCTCAACTCCTCCTTCATCTGTGGTCCCCTCGTCTACTGTCTCCCTCTTCTCCATCATCACATCCACTGCCTCTCCTCCTTCAACCTCAACTCCTTCTTCATCCTCATCTCTCCCGTCATCCTCAACTCCTTCTTCAGCCTCAACTCCTTCTTCATCCTCATCTCTTCCGTCCTCCTCATCTTTTCCTTCCTCATCCTCTCTTCCGTCCTCATCCTTTCTTCCATCCTTCCTCTCCACATCCGAGATGCCTGCTGGTGAAACCTTTTCAGAAACGGACAACGAGTAGACCCTCATCTTCACTACCTCCGGCCAATGACTAGTTTGTCAGAAGTTACCGATTATGGACTGAAACAATAATGTTATAGTAATGTTTGAAATAGCACTTGAATAACATAATTATGTCAATGTATGACTTTATGTTGAATATTTAGTTTCTTTCAATGTCTTTTGAGTGACATTATTTATTAGTTTAATTTAACTGACCAGAGCTGATAGTATTCATGTATTTATTACCAAGTGTATTTATCAATGTTTACAAGTTACTGTATACAACTTTACGATCAAATGGTTTGATGATTTCAATCTCTCTGAGAAAATGTTTTAGGATATTTATTTATTTGAAAGCCTGTAATAACTTTTTATCTAAAGAAGAAGTTGTGCAGCTGTAAAAACATCTGTCAAAAATAAATGTTGCACTTGTGATCCTGCATCTAGTGTTTGTGTTTGACCATCTTATCTGACTTCTTTCTGACATGTAAAAGCAAGAAGCTAATTAGCTGTGAGCAGAAAGACTTGAGTCTGAAAACTATACTATATATTACTACACTATATCAGATAATTGCAAAAAACATAAACTTGATTATTGATCACCTAGAGGCTGGTGACTGTCAACCCACCTGCCAATTTTTGGCTCAAAGTTTAGTACAACCATTGACAACATTATAATTAGTGGAGGAAGATCCTGTGTCTGTGAAAAGAAGCCAATGCAGAAGTGTCTTAAACCTGCATTCTTTCTAATGGCCAGTAAATGGTAATGGGTTTATGGTCTCAATCGCTAGATTCAAGTCTTCTTCCATCTTCATCTTATATTAAATGTTCACCAATAGATTGTCCTAAATGTTACACATTGGATTTTAACATATGTTAAAAGGAGTACTTAGTTTGTTTCAAGCATAGCTTGGCCTTAACTTGAAGAGACTAAGGTCAGTATCAGTAATATTTTTTAAAAATGATCTACCCATTCAACCCAACTCTGTCAGACAATAGAAGAAGAGGAAAAATAAATGTAGCCATTTTCCTGCTGATTTCAAGTTTTGTTTTGGGTCGTGAGCTTGTCAAAACTCTGTTTGACACTCAAATGTTGTTTTCAAGTTCATGTGTAGTAGTGTAACTGTAACTCCCTACTTGGCAATAGAATTGATGAAGCACTTAGATGACTGCAAAAGCCCAGTAAGAACTGATTCAGTGATTTCAAGGACCAAAACACGTCTAGATGTTTAGGTAAGCACAGATTTAATTACTTCGATTTTCTAGAAGTGTTATTTTGTGTTAAATGTAATGCTAAATGCTGAAATAAGTCACTGGTAAAGATTCTGGCTGATAAAAACTGATTTTAATTCTAACTTAAATTCTAGTGTCAAAACAACAGGAAATGAAGACACTGTTCAGTGCATGACAGTAGCTTGCTCTTAATAAGGGTCTAGTGTTGGTTCAATACTTTTGTGCTGTGGGATTATCGGACTCCATTCTCTGTATACAGTACGTTCTCTAACAGAGATTTTCACTACAAAATGGTGAACACACTCTAAAATGGACTATTTAGTCAATAGTAAAGGAATCTATACGCAGCCCGACTGATGCTGTTTAGTATATTACTGCATATAGTGTATATACCTTCATTATAGTCTTTATATTTTCTATTATTTCTTTATAATATTCATATTTTATCACTTTTTCACTACATTTCCCCTGTGCTGCTGTGTCAAACTCAAATTTCTCCCACGGGGGATTAGTAAAGGAACATCTTATTTTACAACTGGGTGGAAGCTCACAAGACCATGTTGTAACATGTCTGTGTCACTGGGCAGTGAACGCACGCTGTAGCAAGTCCTGCCCAAAATTATTACCAAATTCCTTATGACAAATACATAAAAGTGACTTCCTTATAATGAATAATATTATCACCTTGAAAAAAGGTAGCCATTTGTTGGTCATTTTCATTGGTCTTGAAATGAGGGCAGGGATTAAAACTCAACATGATCAGTTGGCATTAAATTTTCTGATTTAACTTTTTTGTTTATTAATGATTTAAAAATGTATAGATAAAAGATGAACTCCGCCCTTTCAGGGATTCAGGGAACACCCCTGTGATCAGATCAAAAACATGACTTAAATTTCCACAACGAAACCCTATGATGAAAGTGCTTCCTGTCGGTCATTTCATGGAAGTCTGCGTAAATCAGCAAGTCATTCATTCAGATGAACAGATAGAAAGGAAATGACTAACCGGAGGGACCGTTTCTGCTTTTTCAGGCCTTAAGTAGCCGATGTCTCCAGACGGCTGTCAGTTCATCGAGCTCTCTGGAGAGGAACGGAGAAGAAAGACCATCAGAGATTACTTTATTCAGTAATTATCCATTTAATCTAACATTTATCATCCTCTTTTGAAAATGGCAAACTGTGGAACCCTGATGAAGAGTGTGCTGGTCGTTATTGTCCTGATGGCTGTGATTCACTCTGGATCAGCAGGTAAGATTACAATCTAGATAAACAAGGTACAAGAGCTGCTTTTCTTCCTGTGAGTCCTTTAAAATGATTTCCTTTTTAAATTAACTCTCTGTTTATCCATCTTTAGGTGAGAAACTGGCATCCTGCTGTAAGAAAGTCAACAAAGTGGAGATAACAGAACCAATCACAGGATACATGATCCAGCAACCTACCCGTGAATGTGTCCCAGCTATCATGTAAGTAAGACGAGCAACACTGTGTCTGTGTCCTTCCAACTTTCTTTGTATTATTTCTTGTATTATGTATTTATTTGTATACTATCTACAGCACATTACGAACCATTAGATTTAAAACACTCATGATGCATTTGTTTGTCATTTTTGCAGCCTTCAAACAGAGAAAGGTCTCTTCTGCACTCCAGTGAGAGCCGAGTGGGTTCGCCGCAAGGTTCAGGCATTCTTGTGAGTTTCTTATGACCGTTGATTTACTCACACACACACTCACATGGTCATGTGGCCTTTTCTCATTTATTTAATCTTTCAATCCCAAACTTGTGGTCTCATATCTTTTGTTTTTTATCTTTCTTACAGGAACGCAAAAGCTCAGGCCACTACTTCATCTGTGGTCCCCTCGTCTACTGTCTCCCTCCTCTCCATCATCACATCCACTGCCTCTCCTCCTTCATCCTCCTCTCCTCCTTCCTCATCCTCTCTTCCATCCTCTCTCTCCACATCCGAGATGCCTGCTGGGGAAACCTTTTCAGAAACGGACGACGAGTAGACCCGCATCCTCACTACCTCCAGCCAATGAAAACACAGAAAGTTGTTACTGAAAGAAAGATAGTTACTGTTTATAGACTGAAACAAAGTAATGTTTGAAATAGCACTTGAATAACATAATTATGTCAATGTATGACTTTATGTTGAATATTTAGTTTCTTTCAATGTCTTTTGAGTGATATTATTTATTAGTTTAATCTAATTGACCAGTGCTGATAGTATTCATGTATTTATTACCAAGTGTATTTATCAATGTTTACAAGTTAATGGATACAACTTTATGATCAGTGTAATGTTTTTATTATTATTATCATTAGGCATTTTAAAGTCAGCTGTTAAATATATGAAACTGTTTTAAGATATTTATTTATTTGAAAGCTTGTGATGACTTTTATCTAAAGGAGAAGTTGTACGCCCGTTAAAACATTGGTCAGAAATAAATGTTGCACATGTGATTCTGCATCTAGTGTTTGTGTGTTTGACTGTTTATCTTCATCTTATCTGACTCTGATATACAAAACCAAATGGCTATAAGATAGGGCAGCACAGTTAATCAAAATATTATTGAAATATCGATATGAACAAGAACAGGTAAAATATGTGACAAAACCACATTATATTATAACATTATATAGTTTACATTGCGAGTATTCTGACTGATATTACAATTGCAATATGATATGAATGTTGTTTTGTCACATGTTACCTTTATCAAAACATTTGGATATTGCACTTGGCCACATTGCTATTTTGATAATATTTCAATTAACTGTGAAGCCTTAGCCTTGAATCACACACAATGACAGAAACTTTATAATCATGCATTTTTGTCATTCAGTTTCCATTTAGTTTTTTTCTCCACCGAAAAGTCACACACACAGAAATGGTGCAGTACAAATGAGCCTATAGATGCCAAATTAAGAAGCAAACATCCATCTCTGACTCTCTGTCAGCACCTATGTGTCAGTACAGTCAAGTACAGTCAATGCCACAGTCAAAGTGTTGTCATTATAATTTATCTGTTCATAAATAAAATATGTATATATCTTAACTTAATAGCTGTATATATCTCAGTGTATTCACCTCACTCTGTTCATTCTGTTAATGCTGTTATATATCCCTGTACATATGCACATTATTCTGCACTTTACTGCTTTGCACTCTGGTTAGATGCTTAACTGCATTTCATTGTCTAGTGCTTGTACTTGTGCAATGACAATGAAGTTGAATCAAATTTAATCTAAAAATAATAGCTGTCTCTCTGTTACCTCCCACATGACTGTTACCTCCCACATGACACACTCATAGCCACAAAACCACACCCACTATAGGCTTCTCCTGTGCTTTTACGTTTAAATCACTTCTAAAGTGCTTGTCGGACACAACAACACCATGCCTTTGAGGAGAGACTGTTCAAATGTGTGCTCCATTATCCCCAAATGTACAATTTTATCATGTCTTGCCCCTCCCTATGCCAGCAGGCCGTTCACCCTGCCTTTAAGGGTAGCTATTTGGAACAGGTACAAATACTTTCACCTTTAGATGTGATTGGACAAAACTGGTAGTTTGTTTCAAGCATACCTCGACCTTAACTGATCTACCCATTCAACTCAGCTTTGTACCAGATAATGGCTGTAGTGCAATATTTTGTTGTGTGTGTGAATCAAAAGCAGAAGAGGAAGAAATTTAGCAATTTTCCTGTTGTTTCAGTGCTTCAATGTGGGCAGTAAGCTCGTCAGAACTCTGTTTGACAATCAAATGGTGTTTGTACATTAGTGTGTATATGAGACTCCTTACAAGGCAGTAAAATTGATTAAATGACTGCAAAAGCCCAGTAAGAAGTGATGCAATGATTTCAAGGACCAAATCACATCTAGGTATTTAGGTTAGCACAGATTTAATTACTTAGGTTTTTTTAGAAGTTTTATTTTGTGTTAAATGTCATTCAATGGAGGCAAACTATTGAAATTACCCAGCGGCAAAGATTCAGGCTGATAAAACAGCTTTAGATTTTGCTTTTAAGTTTCATTCTAGTGATGACTCAGATAGTTTGAAATGAATACTCACCACTGACTATAAAACATACTGAAGACTGTAAAGTGTACATCTGTACACTGAATACAGTAGATGAATAAGACACAGTTCAGTGGATGACAGTAGCTAACTCTTAACTGGGGACCATTGCTTGTT